CATTTTTAAGGTCAAGATCTCTCATGAAGTATTTCTGAGATTCCCCGAAGACTTCTACCTCTGTGCCCTCAATAATGCTTTGTTTAAACCAATCTATTTATAATGCATATTGTGTTAGAGCATAATCATTTTTGTCTTTCTTCCTCATTTAACTGTGAGCTCTACAAGGATAAGGGCTACCTCGGGTTGCCTAAATAATCCCAGGACTTGAAACGTAGTAGGAGCTCTATAATATTTTAAGTAAAAGAATAGAAGAATATGAAGGCTAAGCCTGATATTGGCAAATGTCCTTAGATTGGACCAAGGAGCAGAGAAAGCAAAGTAAAACAAGAGATGCTATTTGATGGGTCCTGGGTAACACTTATTTTTACATGCCAAGGCAAAGATTCAAACTGAATGATGCCCAGTCAATTCTTGAAGCCCCAGTAATTTTCAAATTTTGACATAATAACAGCAACAACTTGTAAGTAGTGAGATCTTTTAATGTGTAAGGTACTGTGTTAAATGCATTATATGAAATATCTCATTTACACCTCAAAGATGCCTATTTTATCCTAATTTACAGCTGAGGAAACTGATGCTTCAATAACTGGCCCCAGATAATACAGTCAACATGTGGTGGAGCCATAATTTGAATGTGGATAAATCTGATACCAGATTTCAAAAATTTAGTGAGTTTCCTAGTCCAGTAATCTAGTTCAACTCTGTTTTTAAGAAACTAAAGGATAGACTCTAAAGCAGTGATGGTGAACACTTTCAGTGAGACAAACAGCCAGTGCAATGCATGAACACCAGTATTTAAATGAATAACTTTAGAGACTGCACAATTCTGGAGTTGTTGTTGTTATTTTGAAGCTATTTATAAAAGAATGGGGTTCACATTAGCCTGGAGCTCTTTACTTAAAACCCTAGAAGCCAGCAGACAGTGAGTAGAAACCCACAGATCACTGAGAGAAAAGGATCCAGCCCAAGAATACAAGTCTCAGACAAAACAGCAGGCTCCCATCAGGGCAAAAGAGAGATGTCTTTACCTAGGCTGGGACTCAGGGAGTTAAAGGAGACCTGGAGGAAAGAATGGCCTCTGGTTCTGAACAGAGGCTGCAAAACAGCTGCGCATGTGCAGAATGATGCTGTCACTAATGGGTGTGACCTGATATAGGTGTGAAGGAATGATTCTTTTGTTTTTTTGTACCAGAAATCGAACTCAGGACTTTGTTCTTGCCAGCCAGGAGCTGTGCCACTGAGCTATATCCTTGGCCCAGTGATTCTTGAAACAGAAATGTGAAAGGAAACCTAACAACGATCTGCAGCTGTAACTTTTAAACTAAACAGAACCCATGTATGGGATAGGGTTGCACTATAGAAGACAGTACGAAAGTGGCAAGGGAAGGACATCTACAAGTTCTAATGTCAGTGCAGAGAATAATGGTTAGGCACATCAGGCAAGGTATAAACAGACACTCAGCTAAGATTCCCTAAACACAGTAATCACTTAGTAAATTAAGACTCATAATGCACCAAAGGCAAATAGGGGACTTTGAACAAACTTCATTGTACCAACAAAAATAAAAGAGAAACAGATTTCACAACAAAGGAAAACAAGTAGCAAATAAGCAGCACAATACTGATGAAATAAAAACAAATACAGTCTTCTCATATTGAACGAGAATGATTTGCATTCATCTATCAAAAGAAAAGATTAGCAATTTGGATTTTCTTTTAAAATTCTGCATGAATGCTAGAAAGGCTGCTTCCAAAAGAAGACATTTCTGCAGCATCCTTGGAGACCAGGAGGGGCTGAAAAGTCAGTGCATCTCCGTAAGCTTTTCTCCGAGTTCTTTCAGGGAGGATCAGATGCAAAGGTGGAAGTCAGGGGTTACAATGTACAGCCTCAGATTGTACACTGCATCAGGATGCCCTTCGGCCTCCTGACAGAACACCTCATGAGACAAACGGTTCTATTAGGCAACACCCGCCATCAGTCATTCCTACCAGGCTGCATCCCTGACACCGTGCTCAGAGTGGTCTTTCTAAACCAGAATTCAGCAGGTCACCTGCATAGTCCCCACTACCCATAAACCCAAGAAAAGGGGTGTTCTACATGCAGTTAGAAGCTCACTTTTTTTTTCAGATACTTCTAGAAGGAAGACCCTCTTACTGTTCCAAAATCAATAAAAGAACAAGACTTGGTGAAATTTTACATTAAGACCCATCAAAGAAAGATTGGGACTTTCCCATGTTTACAACCTTCTTAGTTCACTTACTAAAGGGGCTGGGAATTTAGCTCAGCGGCACAGCACCTGCCTGGCAAGTGCAAAGTCGTGAGTTCGGTTCCCGGTACTGGAAAAAAAAACAAAAAACAAAAACAAAAAATTCACTTACTACATATCAAAATTGATAAAAAGTTACTCTCCCTCGAGATTTGTACTATATCTCTGCTACTTCAACAAAGTGTGGAAAGAATGTGAAGGCTAGAGTTAGACATATAGGGGCTCTGATCTTGGTCCTGACATTACTTATTGTGTAACAAAGCACTTAGCCTTTCCTGGTCCAACATTCTTTCTGGAAGTATTGAGTACAGGTGAGACTACCTTCACCATGGGGTAGGGAGAAAGTCTATAGAACTGAAAGAACTGAAGCTTTACTCATACTTGGCTCTTTGTTTTTGCTTTTAAAATGATAGTTTTGCAGCCAGGCATGCTGGCACATGCCTGTAATCCCAGCATTCAGGAGGCTGAGTCAGGAGAATCATTGAGACCAGCCTGGGCTACAAAGTGAGCTCAAGGCCAGCCTGAACTGTATAGCAAGACCCTGTCTCAAAAGACCAAAAATAAATAAACAAAATAAAATAAAGTGATAGTTTTTTAGGCATGTGTCATGGTAGGATTTTAAATATGACAACCATTTGTGTATTTATGATCACTGTTTAGCCCTGCATTCCTCAGTTTTGCCACCTGTCAGGTTGAAAAGTGGCCACATAGCACGATTTTCCGTGTGATGAGCCTGAATGCTGGGTTTATCATTTGCAATCTAAAATGAGTATTATTCCTAAAGTACAATTTATTCATCAGCTGTGTCTGAAAAATTGTAATGATCCCACCTAAGGCTAGATCTCTCCTTCCATGGAAATAACAGCAATGCTAATTCATATCTCTTAGAGCGCAATACTAGAATTTCCAGCCCAAGTGTCAGGGCTCTTACCACCATGATAGTGGCACAAACGAGTTTGACATGTTGTAATGACTTACACAGATGTTCTTGGAAGAAAATCCAAGATCTTTTTTTAAATAATAAAATAATTTTATTTGGTTTTGAAATGTTATGTTACCTAAAGTGACTGTCCAACTGCTCTGTAAATTTACAACTTCAAATAAAATAATGTACACTGAAGAATTACACGGTCCTAGGTCTGAAGAGTCAGACCTTTGTTTTCATTTCCAGCCTCATGTTGCGCCATCCTCACCCTCTTCCCATTCTGAACTCAGATCCATCTCCCTTCATCCAGCTCTCTCGCCTTACCTTCCCTGCTCCTGATACAGATACTTGCTTTCCCCACGCCATACAATGCTCTTCCCTACCTTCACACTATTCTTGCATTGATTCTGACTTGTCCTGCAACTCTCAGTTCAAGGACACTTCTTCAGAAAAGACCTCAGTGAGCCTTGCTCCCCAGCCTCACCCCCAGGTCCACCCAATCTAGTCATGCTCCTTGTTATGTTCTCTCTAGAACTGAGTTTTGCCTGTAATTATCCTTAACGCACGAAACTACTTCATTACTTTCTATCCCTAGTATTCAGCTTGTTTTAAGAGAACAAGGAGTGACCTTGTTGCGCCATCACTGTCCTCCTGGCAGCTGGCACAATGGCAAGGGCTCAGTCCTGAATGATGAATGGATGAATGAGCAGGTGGAGAAGTGAAGGAATTAATTTCAATTCCAGGGCTATTCACCTGTTATTTCTGCTACAAAAGGTGTTAATAAGGTTGTAGAAAAGGCATAAATAATGAATTAACCCAAAACTTCTCTTGGGCTTTGTTACAAGTACACCCTAATTCTTCATTCCTCTTAAGAGTATTTGGAACAGCACAGGATCAAATGTTGGATCAATCCAGTTTTGGTTTTGAATGTTTTTGGGAGAGAAAGTAATGTCTGTTTCTTTGAACCACTGAAAATGTATTTCTAGATGAGATCATACCTACTAAAAAGTCTGCCCTCACATTTTCGTTAATAGAGCACCACCATTTAAAATAATTTCACTTTTCTCTTTCCAACTTCATGAACAGGGCCCATAGTTAAAGCAAAAAGTAACACAAAATGTGTGGAGTAAAAAATAGTAGAAGCCTGTTTATTAACTTATATTGTAGACAGCATTATTTAAATTATTCATATAGAATCTGAGATGGACCATCCAAGAAAAAATAATCACTTTCACATGACTTTTTTAATGACTTGAGGGGCTGGAGAATATTTTTAATCATCCACTCCTCCTGCAGAGCCTGATACATAATCAATAAAAAGTCTATGACAACCCATGTATTTCAGACAGTGGACCATCTAGATAAGATTAAAATCAAACTCCTTCTTTTTCAAGCCCTTCCTTTTTATTTTCTAACCTAGAAGAATTCCTAGCCCAAGTGCCAGGGCTATTTAATTTTCATTCTGTTGATACAGTTGTTTTGCCTTTTATCTTTCTTCCCGAACAGTAAGCTATTCTTCTACTTTATCTACTGACAGGTAGCTCCAAGCTGGTAATTTAAAAATCCAACGGTCTCTTGAAACATTTCTTTTTCATTTTAAAACACAGTATCAAAGGCAGCAATGCATACTGAGCACCATCCACACAGATGACACTCTGTCTCTAGCCATGTGCTTGGGCTGTTCTAAAAGTGTTCCTTGGTAAACAAAAGCACTTTCTATTTGGTGCCCAATTTTTCTACTTTTGATCTTTCTCAATGCTCACTTGAGGCATAACTTAATAAGAAATATTCAGTAGGCCACTCACCTGCGAGCACTTTAACTTGGAAGCAGAAGACAAAGAGGTACCAGAGACCTGACTTCATGTTTGCCAGAGCAACCGCAGCCTTCTGCTTCAGTGTTCAAAACTGACAGCCAGTTCATGTTCGCAGTTGTTTCTTACTTGCTCAAAAGGATGTGGGTTTTGTGGAAGTGGGTAAGTGTCACACATGCTGTCAAGCCGAGGAGGAGTCTCTTCATTGATCTCAATGGCCAGATGGGGAAAGTATTATTGATCATGGGAGGAAAACATTTAATCCATGGATTATTGATGATTATGAAGGCCGAGGAAATCTTTACCCCCATTCTGTTTCCAACAAAATGAATTCAAAAGGCAAAGCCTCTTGTTTTCAGGGCCACTTCATTCAGAAGCATCTCCTAGGATCAATAGTTATTGCTGATGTCAAGATCTACAATGCCCATATGATGAATAAGACATAAAATTTTGACACATTTCTGCCTTAGACTATTTGCTCCAGAGATGAGAAGGCCTTTGAAATACAAGAACTAAATGAAATTATTGCACAAATTGGTACAAAGATATCTGAAAGAGGAGTATCACAAGAATCTGAGAAATAATATTTATGTAGTATTCTCTGTAGATGGAAAATTGCCCAATGGTGTGATCAGGCTTAAACTAACCTAAACTCTGTTCTTCCAGTCTGTAGAAGTAAGAGTACTGCAGTTTTAGGCTCAAATGAAAGCTAGAAAGTTGGACAGCCTGTTATTTTCCCTCCATCCCTGCAGGGAAATAAGTAGAAAATAGCAACAATAAGAACGTAGCTATATTTCTACAGACTTAAATGTTTTCTATGAAATAGATCTTAATGCAAAAATATATATAAAATGAAATGCAAAGTAATACAAGTACACCATTCAGTATGTGTTAAATATACTCTGGATATAGTTAATATTGTTAATATTTAATATGGTAGTATTTGTACTATGTTTTTTATGTATGTCAATGATTATTATTTGTACACATATTTGTACATTTATAATATATTGTATCTGTATTAAAATACCTGACCTGGCCTGAGTCAGTGTCAGTGCTTGGATTTGGATATTGTGGCTCCAGAATTTGTACTCTTAACTCAATGGAGCCATTCATGCCAAGGCTGCCAGTCCTGCCACCCAGAAGTCAAGCTGGCTTCCAAGATGCTGGGTCCAGGCTGGGATCTGGAGGGACTGACTCCCAGTCTGCAAAGATGACTTCCAAGGCATTAGCTGCCTTCAAAAGTCTAAGCTACCACAATGTGAATCCACAATGTCTGGGCTCAGAAGCAGAATCAGCACTACAGATTCATAATTAGGGATTTTGGACAGTTTGAAAGGCAGGAGGAGCCTCTTCCTGTGATTCCCAAGCCACTGTGGCTTCCCCAAGTGTGTTTTAAAGGCACCTGAGTCTCAGCATTGGATTGGAAGAAATTCATGGAGGGCTGAGCACCCTGAGCATAGACTGAACTGCCAGGACTCCTGGGAACTGCCTACTGATGTCCTCCCTTTCCTTCCCTCCCTTTTCTTTTCCTTTCCTTTCTTCTTCTGCATTGTGCTTGAGTCCTTTCCCAGCAAACAGAAAAGACATTGGCAGGAATTTAGTTCAGTGAACTGAAACTTTCTAACCCACTTGACACCAAGCTCTGGGGCCTAAGTATGGGGAGCTTTCACTTCATGTGAACCACTCTGCCCCGAATTCTAGTTTCCCAGGGGATGATACAGGAGCATTCATGTACTCCATGAACATTCACTGAACGTGTGCACTGTGTTTCATTCAGATCCCACAACAGCTTGACTAGGGCCATCTCATTATTATTCCCATGTTGCAAATGAGGAAAATAACAGAGAACTGAAGTCATCAGCCCAAGGTCTCATAGCTGATAAGGGATGGAGTGGAGTAGGTAAACCCACACCATGACCATACTGTACTTGGGCCCTTCTTTATCTGACCAGAAATTACTCCTACCATCCCTTTTTTTATTCCATAGTTTCATGGAGGAAGTGTACTTAGGTCCTAAAGGAAGTTCCAAATTATTTAAACTTTTAAAAAAAGATTTTCTAATAAAATTTAGGTACAGTGTTCCTACCTCAAAGGGAGAAAAGTTGTGCAAGTCATGGTTGAATTCAGATTTAGTTCAGCTGGATATGCGAACTTCTATGTGATAGGAATCTGTGTGCCCTTGCCCAATCATTGTGCTTCTTAGTTTGTAGGAGATTCAGTGATAAGTGCAGAACAGAACTCACTTCTGTGTAAATGATGTTTTGTGTCAAAGTCCCGTTAATGTAACCCTTCCCGGATCTAGCCTTCTCAAAAAATCTCGACTAAGAATACAATTACTTGTGGTTTTAAATTTTCAGAATCGCTTTTCTTATAGCTGGAAAATAAACTGGGCAAAAATTTCCATTCACTTCACAGGAAGTGCTTTTTATTTGCTTTTATTTTGCTCTATCTTTTTTTTTTTTTTTTTCATTCCATGACTTAAGAAAGTTTTGATTTGTGTGTGCAGCTGCCTGCGCTGAGGGTGGGGAATGGAAAGTTTGTTACATTAAAGTTTGTTACATTAGAGTGTTTATTATTTCTTGCCTTTTGGGGCACCAGAATTTCTAATACAGCATGTTTGCTGTTCTCCAGTCCCACATGAATGCCTTCCTTGTGCCTTGCTTAAAATCTATTGCAAGCTTAAGATTTATGTGCATGAGTGCAGGAACTGACACAGCGGGGCCATTGAGCCCAAACACCGGGGCTTAAAAGCACCCCCAAAAGTGCCAATGCTTCTCCTAAGCATGCTTCACCATTCTGAAACTGGTGAACACAGGAAGAGTAGTGTCCTTACTAATCAAAACGGTTTTCATCAGAAGTGATGGTGCAAGCCTGTAATCCCACCACTCTGCGAGGCCAAGGCAGAAGAATCACAAATTGAAGCTCAGCCTGGGCCCTTTGGAAGCTAAGCGAGACCCCTGTATCAAAATTTACAGAAGAAAAGGGCTGAAGATGTAGCTCACTGTGAAGGCCTGGTACCAAATCCCCAGTACCAAAAAGAAAAGGCTTCTACTCCTACCTTGCCTACCTGAAGCAGTGCCACCCAGCCCTCTCACTTCTCCCAATTATTTACAATAGGCCTTAGTTATTCTATTTCCTAGCTCTCTCCCAAGAATCTTTCCTTCTCTCTTGTGAGAGTCACCACCTTTAATCAGCCCTCCAGCCTCTCTCTCTTGATCTTCCTGTTTCCATCTGCCTGCACACCACAACTTGAGTCATCTTGGTAAATACAAGTCTAGGTCACCTGTACTCCCCTATTGTGCACCATCAACTGACTTCCTGTGGGTCTTCGGTCAGGATCATACTCCTTACAAGACCCTTTGCAAAGGGTAGCTCCTGATCCAATTCAGCCTCTTCTCTTGCTGTGTTTATTCTGTCATCCTCCTGCACCAAATGCTTCAGCCATATTGAATGACATGGAATTCTCCAGAAACTCCCAAGCTACCTCTTTGTCCTATTGCCAGAAGCCTCTACTTGTCCCTGCTTTTGCCCCTCACCCCCTTGGCCTCCAGTCTGCTGCAGAAATCCCACTGCTCTTCAGGCCTCTGCTTATACACCTATCAGTTCATTGAAGAAGATTTGGCCAATCCATTTATCCACCACTAACTCCTCCTGTGACTGGATGCATCTGATGACTGCTCCTCCCGATACCCCTCTGTGTCTCCTGTCCTAGGACTCATCATCTGACCGTAATGGACTGTTTTCTTTTGTCCACATAAATAGAAAAAAATCAGAGAGAGAATCTCCAAGGAATAAGGATATTTATTACAATTGCAAAGCATTGCCATAATAAACTCTAAACATATTCAAAGAAGTTGTTGATGAAAGGAAGTTTTTAAGGACAAAAATGATCAAGATCACATCAGAAGTTTTGAAACCATAATCCTTGGCCACAATGACAAATAGCAAGAGTGGCACCCATCTGAGGTTGAGCCGACAGTTACTGAGCAGATAGGCAGTAGAATAGTTGTGTGCAAAGTTGTGATGGCCTCTGTACAAGCTTGTGGTTCTGCCAAAGTCTTTTGTGATAGTTACTGTAAGGCAAACACATATAGGAATCCTTCTTGCTGGGCTTAGTAGCGTACTCCTATAATCCCAGCACTTGGGAAGCTGAGACAGGAGGATTGCTATGAGTTCAAGGCCAGCCTGGGCTACCTAGTGAGTGCAAAGACAGCCTGAACTATATTGTGAGACCCTGTTTTGAAAAGAATTCTCCCTTTATTCGTTTTATTGACATTTCTGGGTAGAATTAGTATGGGTGGCTCTATTTTCATTCTGACAAATTTTACATTTGTTTCACACTTTCTTGCAGCCCCTACTGGATGGTGAGCAGTGTCATAACAAGGGTTTTGAGGCCTTCTTTGCAGCCATTTCTGAATGCCTAACTCAGTGCCTGAGACAGACTGAATATCTCATAACCATCCATTGAATGAATGTTTGAAGAATCTCTGACTGCTGAAGGAATGATACTACCTCAGGAATGCTCACCAATGACAAATTTGCTTTTCTAATCATAAAATGAGTGCAAAAAATAATCACAGTGTATTTGTATTTCACATTGAAATTAATTCAATAAACATAATTATTTATCATCTTGATTCAGCTACCATCTGATCATTTCCCCATCCTCAGTCATCAAACAAAAGAACATGCAATCTTAACGGCCAAATATTTTCTCACTTAAAGTTATTAAGTAATCCATAAAGCCCAGAAAAACAATTATACTTTTCCAAGTAAAGCAAAAAAGCAGTGTGAAATGACATAACATAAAATGGTTGATGTTTTTAACAAAGCCCTACTAAGTCTCTTCAGCCTTCATTCCAGGGAAAGCGCCATTGCTCAGACCTCTATGAGGTGCCCCTCTGGATCCATTCCCTCCAGCCTCCCACTGGCCCCACTCCTCTGGCTCTGCTAGCTCTTCTCTTCTGCTTGTAAACCTGCCAGAGTCTTTTCAGCCATTAACACAGACACACCCGCGCACATACACACAGCATCTTCTTCAGGCTCTGGTCTCTACTTCTCGCTCTTCTTTCTTGGCAAAAAGAAACCCTTTTGTA